AATAGACCCTCGGCTCAGGAAGGGCAAGAAGAAGAAGAGGAAAGCAAGGAAGGAAGAAAGAAAGAAGAGAAAAGAAATGTTGTTTATGAAAGAATATCTTATTTCTCCGTGATCTTAAACTGTCATTATTATTCATGCTTAGCGTAACACTTAAATTATATTATTATTGACCCTAGTAAGTGTCAACTCGACCCTCGTCACTACTTCTTCGAGGTTAGACTGGATACTTACTGGGTACATATTGCTATGTACTCATACTACACTTATGTACTTAATTGTACAGAATCTGAGGCAGGTGCATCTAGCTACCCATCCGGCGCGCATTCCTGATACCTGATCGAGATCTCACGATGAGCTGCCCCCTTCCGAGCCGTTCAGCAGCATGCCAGAGTCTCTTCTTTTGTTATTCCTATCTATTCTATTTCAGGCAGTAGGGTAGTTGTATTTTGTACATTCTACTAGTTGCCCTCGTACTTGTGACACTAGGTCCTGGCACACACGTTAGTAGACTATTATTTTTGGGTTGTATTCCTATTATTGTGATTCTCTTTAGTCTTTCCCGATTCAGTCGCCTCATAATTTGTTAATTACCGATTGTTTTAAATTTACGTTAAGTAAATGTTGAGAGTATTTATTTAAAGGAATGAGAACTCACTAGTTGAATAGGGTTGGCTTGCCTAACAATGGTGTTGGGCGCCATCACGACCTGTAATGGAATTTGGGCCATGACATTAAACGTCTGAGAAATAAATTTCAATCTATCGTCGTTGAGATTGTTGGTCAAAATTTTAGGAGTTTCTGTGTTATGTTCATAGTTTAGTTATTTTATTTAAAAAATAGTAAGCAACAACAAATTAAGTTTGTTATTGAATTAGAGCATAAAAGATAAAACTACAAATAATGTCGGCTTCTTCTTTTCTTTTTTCCCTATAGTTGAGGTAGACATGATTTTATTAGTTAAAGTCTTTTTTTATTGGTATTATCATATAATTTGACCAAAAAAAAAAGTATTATCATATAATAAAGCCAAATACTCCTATAAAAGAAGTCATTATTCCATGTTCTTCATCATTAAACTTTCGCCAAGTATTGGTTTTCCGTCACACGAAAAATTATATTTAACCATATGTAAAGTATGTACAACTCCTGAGCTAGATCATCAAACAGACCCATAGAAAACTCTAACAAAATGGACTACTTTAGTAGAGTACTCCTACACAATTGGATAACTCTTGAGTCTATCTAGACATTTAGACCATTTATACTTTTTTTGTCCTACAATATGCAACTACAAGACTATTTCCCTCACTATCATCTTGTAATTTTGTGGTTTCTGACTGAATTTGCTATTCCTTTCTAATCGGATATGGTACATAATGGCTACAAAGAGAAATCCTAATATAGTTTTTCTTGGTCTGTTGTTTCTCACATGAGCTGATAACCATGTGATCTGTGTAAGAAAAATGAGTAGATAATATTGACTAAGAACAAGAAGGAAAGAAGAACAATTTATCAAAAATACTGTGTCGTGGCAAGCCACTGCCCTGAAAGCGATTTCGGCCCGACTAGGTGTAAATCGTTAGGGCCGGTCGCTCCCCAAGGTTCCACAGCACCTCCAAACACGTGCACTCGTGGCTGGAAGTTTAGAATTTGCACAAAACAGTTGCCAGAAAGAAGAGAAGATGAAGGTATTTTCTGTAATTGTTACAGAAATTAAAGAATGTTGTAGGAAGAAAAGTAATGATTAGCAAGATGGATTCTTGGTTAAGATTGAGTGATTATGATGCCTAATCCATAACCTATTTGTAGGCAATCAAGGAGGTTGCATGTATGATAAGTGTCGAGAGTCTTTTGACACTTGTCCCATTATATTGGCTCCAATATTGACAAGTGTATCTTGTCTTCCATGCATGAAGACATATGGTAGATTTGCATACCATTTGTCAAGGCCATTCAACACTTGGCTTTAAGGCTTCATGCAAGAGGCCACTTGGAAATAGATAGGACATTTGAAAAAGTCATGGCTATTGGTTGTAAATGGAATTTCAAATTGACTTTACATTATGAATAATTCCAACAATCCCCCACTAATGCAAAGACAAAAATAGAACAATTCTGGGCAAAAGAAGGAACATGTACTTAAGTGTCAATATCTTTCGATTTGAATTGACACGTAGTGAAATGAGGCAACAACTAACATCCACAAAGTGAAGTACTCTTGAACTGAATGGACATTAGCTGAGACCCCCACAACACATACTATTTCCTTAATTTTATGCAAATTCTGCGATACTAACAAAGTGCTTTTATGGTCATGCACATACCTTGGGTCTCATGAGTGCTCTAGAAAGATATCCCAAGTCTTTCATAAAAGGCGACCACATCTTTACACTCACGTAGGTGATTCCATCAAGTCTATCTACACATAGACTACCTTAAGGCTATGGAATCATTAAGAGCAAAATAAACTCAACCTTATAAAGCACTACCACATGCCATAGGGATAGGAGTGTAGTGCATATTAAGGTCTCATATAGCTACGTTTGACCACAAACGGGTAGCACCATACTTCCTCAATCCATGGGCTTTAGCCCCATCCCCCTCGACGTTTCAAGGGTAACTCTCCTTGCCAAACCCTTGGATCCGCCAAATTTCTTTCGGATCTTACATATTCCAAGGAAATATCACCATGTTTCAACAACTGTTTTACCGCACCATGCCTAATGCGGATATGTCTTCTTTTTCTATTGTACACACTATTTTTGGCAATTCCAATTGTTGCCTGTGAGTCACAATGTATAGAAACTGGTGAAGCTTGTCTTCCCCACAAAGGCACGTCTGCCAATAAGTTTCTCAACCATTCGGCTTCTTGCCGTGCCAACTCAAGAGCAATGAATTCAGACTCCATAGTAGATCGTGCTATACAAGTCTGTTTTGAAGACTTCCATGAAATAGCACCTGCACCCAAAGTGAACACATAGCCACTAGCGGAGCTAACTTCATCATTGTCAGTAACCCAGTTTGCATCACAAAATCCTTCTAAAACAGCAGGAAATTTATTAAAATGCAAACACCGATCCATAGTACCTCTCAAATATCTTAGCAAACGATGAAGAGCATTCCAGTGTTCACTACTAGGGTTGTGAGTATATCTACTCAATCTACTAACAGCATAAGCAATATCAGGTTGTGTATAATTCATGAGAAATATTACACTACCAATTATCTTAGCATACTCAGTTTGAGAAATACTAGATTCCTTATTCTTTTTCAAGTGTATGCTAGGATCATAAGGAGTTCTCACAGGTGATACATCAAAACAATTAAACCTTTTCAACATTTTCTCAATATAATGAGACTGAGACAATGAAAAACCATTAGAAGTTCTTTTGATTTTAACCCCTAAAATCACATCTGCTTCTCCAAGATCTTTCATTTCAAATTTAGAAGACAAAAAATTCTTAGTCTCATTAACAACATTCACATTAGGGCCAAAGATTAACATGTCATCCACATACAAACATATAATAACACAATCTGATATTATCATCTTGGAATAAACACAAGTATCAGATGCATTAACAACAAAACCATTATCCACTAATGTGCTATTAAACTTTTCATACCACTGCTTAGGTGCCTGCTTTAGACCATACAAAGACTTTCTCAATTTGCATACTTTATTCTCCTGTCCTTGGATCATAAATCCCTCGGGTTGAGACATATAGATCTCTTCCTCTAAATCACCATTTTAGGAAAGCCATTTTAATATCCATTTGATGTATCACTAAATTATGAATAGCGGCTAAAGCAACAAGAGTTCTAATAGTCGTTATCTTAGTCACAGGAGAATAAGTGTTAAAGTAATCAAAGTCTTTCTTTTGGTTAAAACCCCTAATAACAAGTCTAGCCTTATATTTCTCCATTGTACCATCAGGTCTCAATTTCTTCTTAAATATCCACTTGCTACTTATGGGTTTACAACCATTAGGCAAATCACACAAGTCCCAAGTGTGATTTGAAACTATAGAGTCTAATTCACTTTTAATGGCCTCTTTCCAAAAATTAGCATCTATTGACCTCATTGCTTCATTGTATGTCTTAGGGTCTTCTTCTATTAAATAGATTGACACTAATTCATCACTCAAAATATCAAGATCAATATTTTCAGTCAAGAAAGTAGTAATAAAGTCAGGACCAAAGCTAGCTTCAATTCTACGTCTCTTACTTCTTCTAAGTTTATTTTCATGCTCAGTAGCAGTAATACTAGAAGAAGGTACAATATGAGAGTTAATAGACATAGATGTAGAAGTTGAGAAATTCATGAACAGATATGACCGTTCCGAAATATAAACCTCCAAATGTTACACACTAACTCAATGCTAGTTAGGCTAGTAAATCTTGTTTGGAGATTGGAAATGGAACACTAAAAAGCTCAAAACTCTTCCAATTATGATTATATATATATATAGGCTGATGAGCCAATAGGCTGATCAACTGTAAATTTATTTAGCATCAGAGAACTACTACTCTGGTGAATGAAAATTGGATCAAATGTTTGAACACTATCATCATCTTAAAATCACGACTAGATGTTGATGCATAGAAGAGTTACATGCTACTGAAAAGTAGATGTTATAACTTTGTGAAGATGACTTCTATCAATGAGTATCCATCGACTTAAGCTAACTGTTCAGCAAAGCTGGATTTTACCTTGAATTGATATAGAAGGCCAAATCAATCGAGTCTTGTTATTCCTTTACGGTTAGTATTTCCATCATTAATTAAGCAGAGTATATAATCAAGTGAAGAAACTTGAGCATTATTCTTGAATACAAATAAAAATTTGTATACACGGTCAAATGTTTATATTTTTTGTGACAAATTAAACTCCGAAATATTGAAATACATCTCAATAACACGAAAGAAAAAGAAAAAAAAAATAACAGAACTAATTAACCAAAAAAAAAAAAAAAAAACTATCACTTGCTGCTCCATGCTTATGCGATGATCATCAAGAACGTGGAAAATGGGAAAACAATGGAAGCAACAAATTTGGAAGGACCAAATATCCGAGAAGCAGCTGATGAGGCAGGGGAACCTGAAGGTGCAGTAGAAGGAGATCCCACTTCTGGTAGAACGTTAATGGCAACCTTCATTCCTAGCTGACAGTGATATTTTGCTCCACAAAAGTACCATCTCTTCCCAGGAGATTTTAGCTCAATCACATCATTTCCAGAATTGAGGGGTTCAGCATTAGAACACATTGTGAAGCCCCTGTTACTTGAAAACTGCACCATGCACAAATTTTTTGTTCATTATTAGCCACTTTTTGAAAGATTGAACCGACACTAAAGCATAACATATGCACAGTTTTAACTTCAATATAGTAATCTATATCTATATCTATCTATACTATATTAAAAGCACCAAGGAATGTTGTTCGTCTTTTTTACCCTTTAAAATAGATTTTACATTGCACAAAATAGTAATTTAAGTTATTTTTCTAATATGTAGAAATAATCATTTAATAATTTTTTAATATTTAGGAATAGCTATTTAATTATTTTTCTAATGTTTAGGAGTTAAAAATCAACTAAAATTTTGTTTATTAAAACTTTCCTTATTTAAATCACTATGTAAGGACATAAAAATCAACTAATAAATTTTACCTTACATAAATCAAACAATTTATTTATATTTTTTTTGCGTAGATATACAAATTAGGAACATAAATATCTTATGAAGTTGATAAAGAATTTCAAAGTTCTATTCATATACACTTTTTTCCAAGTTAAATATTTGAATTTTTGTATACGTATAATGTTGAGTCCAAGTCAAAGTCTAACTCTAACATGTAAACTATTACATGTACTCCTAACACAAGCTAAAGTTGGTGGCCTCCGACCAATCATCTGTATTTATGGGTCGTTGTTAGGTACTCAGGTTCGTAAAGTTTACATCTTTAATTTATTTATCTTTCTTTGTTTTGTATCTTTCGTTCTCCTTTATTATGATCTAAAAGTTAATTTTTCTTCAATGTAAAACTCTTGTGTATATTTCATATAGATCATTTGTGACTAAAACGATATATATATATATATATATATATATATATATGAAGACATAGTGAATATATATAGAATCGAATTGCTGGTTGATTTTCTATTAATTATTGTCTATTAAATTCATTAATGTTTATTATATGTTTTCCAAATTATTTGGAGCACTAGAGTGAACATGGTATGTAGGGGCGCAGCTAGAGCTTCGACACCGGGTTCGGCCGAACCCAGTGACTTTAGTCCAAATCATGTATTTGCCTTAAAAAATTCATTGAATATGTATAAATTCTTACTTTAGAACCCACTAACATAAAAAGGTTGACCTGATTTACACCTTCTCGTTGGATGACAGCCCTTTCTTAGACTTGGTGAACTCTTGTCGTGGTGAATTAAACTCCGTTCCATGCCTCGCTGCTTGTCAATCACATCGCAAAGTCGTTGGGTCGGCGGAGACCTCTTTCGGCAAAGAATTATACCACAAAGCCCCAACTAGGTACGACCACTTATAGGAGTCTTCTTTGCTAGTAGAATGCCCCCCACGAGAAGAAAGAATAGTTGGAATTCCAAACCCAGTAACTTTAAATCGCGGCACCGTCTCTGATGGCATGGATATCTTTTTTTTCTTTTTCATTTAATGGCTATGAATTGTTTTTTGTATTTCTTTATATTTGTATTGAATATGGAATATTCTAATTCTATGTATCTTTTTTTTTTGTGTGTATGCAATTTGAGGAAAGTTTCAAAAGACAACCCCAATTGTTAAGTTTTTTTCCTAAATTTCCTATATCATAAATTGCTAGGAACCCGTGATTGACTGCTAAATCTTTAATTAACTTGAAGATTCTCTTAGTAGTTCAATTTTATTCATCTAAATTTATTTTTATAACTGAAGTTCATATCGAAACGGTATAATGTGTCATATATAGTTTATCCTTGTTCATTATGGCAATCGTTTTATTTGAAACTTGATCATATTTTATTTTGGGTGAAATAGACGAAGTCTTACTAAAATATTTAGTTGTGTTTTTCTCACCTTGCTACCAATATAGTACCGTATATTTTTTGAGATATTTTGGAAATATAAAACTTGAACTATTATACATGTATTTAATATTAATTTTTAACTATGGCACATGGAGTAAGAGACTAATGAAAAATGAAGAGGACAACAAACCATGGCAAAATACCCGTTTTATTGAAGTATTAACGAAAGGACACTTAACATTAAGTTCAAACAACATAAATTTACAGAAGATGAAGATATTATTATTACAATCTTATCATTGATTTCTTTATATCAAATAAATTTTGCTAATTAATCCCACAAGAAAAAAGATAACAGGATAACTTTAATAGGTGGAGCAAAGCCTGAAGTCACAAAAAACATCTGAGGCATGTGGGAAAGAATTATTCCTTTATTAAGCCAGCTAAATCGAATCAATATTCGTCATTTCAAGAACTTTCACTTTTTTTTATATTTATATATATCTCAAATATATTATTTAAAAATATTTTAATTTTTTGAAGTTGTGTATTCAACTGTATGGGGTACACAAGGAACAATTTATTTTCTATATACATTTTACTGGTTGATGCGATGCACATGTGCAACGCACGTATGCTAAAACTAGTACTATATTAAAAGCACGAAGGCCCTTAGCGAAATGTCGTTCGCCTTTTTTACCCTTTAAAAATAAACTTAACATTAGACAATATTGTAATTTAGTTATTATCCTAATATATAGGACTTTAAATTTAATTAAATTTTTTATTATTAAATCTTTCCTTATTTGAATTATGTAAGAAGTCCTAATATTAAGGACTTTAAAGTATATATTATTTTGGGAAAATAGAAGTAATATTATTTTATAGCCACACAAGTGATATGACATGTTTAAGACCAACAAAAGTCTTTATTTCTTTTTTAAACTCCATGTCGATTCAAATTATATCACCTAAATTGCAACGGAGGGAGTAGCATTATATACTTATAAAAAGCTAAGGCATACAGTCCGGTGCATTGAGCTCTCGCTATGCGCTGGGTCCGCAAAATGGCCGGACCACAAGGGTCTATCGTACGCAGACTTACTATGCATTTTTGCAAGAGGCTGTTTTCACGGCTCGAACCCGTGACCTCCTGGTCACGTGCAGTAACTTTACATGTTACGCCAAAACATAATATATATCCAAAAAAGAATGATGTTAACTAACATACTGAGCGTATCTCCAACATGGAACTCTTTGCTTTCAGCCCATGCTTTGTAGTCGAAGTTGAGTTTCCAACCTTGATCATCCCCAACCCAATGTTCAGTTGCCATTGCTGGAGTTACAGCCATGCTAACTGTTTGGCTTAAAAGTTGTTGATGCACTTTGTAAGCGATAAAACAATCAAAAAATAGAGGAAGGGTAAATCGTAATCAAATATAATAATCCTAGAGATGCAAAGATGATAATGTTTGTTATAGATCCAGTGTTAGAAGGATGACAATGTATGTTCATAAGATATATTAATCGGAAGTAGAGATATAGAGAGAGAAAGATAGAAAATGAGAGAGTTGTATTAGATCAGATAGCCCCCCCTTTACAATGTGGAGGTCTCCTTTATATAATAGAAGACCTTCCTCGAAAGAATCAAAAAGTTACAGAGATAGGTAATGTCTTTCTAGTGTAGACGCTGAGTTCTAAACGACGCCGCTTTCGTCCTCACGGCCGAGTCGTACCCGCTACGTTGGTCGGCGTACACTCATTGGGCGCGCCCGCTGGCGTAGAGATACTGAGGGTTAAATTTGACCATATACAGTTAGTCCCTCCGCTCGTTGGAGACGCGTTTGGTGGGCGTCTTCGGCGGGCGGAAATGCGAACCTCGTCGTAGGAGGATTTAACCTCGACTAGGGGCGGTAATATGAAGTGAAACGTATGACGCTATTGAGCTGCTGACGCGTGGCTCCCTTTTTGGAATGATGTCATCGCCTGTATGCATCATCATTATATATGCCCCCGAGGCAGTTCAGAGGATGAAGTGACGTTTTGGTTTTCGGCGCACGTTTTGAATCATGACCCTTCGATTTCTGCGCAATTTGTCCTTATAAGTATGAGAGGAATTTGATCCGATTCTACTTTCAAAACTCGGAAAAGTATTTTCTGATACATCCTATTGCCTTTCATTCCTGTAACCATTATTTTGTGAAGGAATTTCCCATTTCTATTGAAATACACTTCCCTTTGTCAGTGCCTCTTTTCTCAAGTAGCGTTATTATGGCGAAACGCGGACAAAATAATAAAAAGGCCAAGGATAATATCCCGTCTAGGGTTCCGCCATCTTCTGGTGGTGAAGGGAGAAAGGCGGAGAAGGCCCTCGTTCCCCTCAGCATAGACAACGTCCTTCCGAGGGAGATGCACGTTCGCAGGGATTTCCCGACTAAAAGCCCTGATCTTCCCTGGGAGCGCAGCATTTTGCTTCAATCCCATTTAGACGAGTTGCGAGAGACGCACCGCATTCCGGATCATGTGGATATGGTTCCGGCCGGAACGGATTACGCCAACGTGCACCGGCCTGGGTATTGCGCCTTCTACGAGTACCCGTTCTTGGTTGGTTACGACCTTCCTGTATATACTCTGGTGGAGGAGCTCTGCCGCTTTTACAACGTGTGCCCGGCCCAGCTCACCCCTTATACTTTGAAGGTATGCCGCATCATGACCACCTATGCGGCCAGGGCCGGGTGCAGCGTCTCAGTACATCACCTCTTGCAGTTGTTCAGCGCCGGCTACCTGAGGGGCACTATGCTGCAGTTGAAAGGTCGTGGCGCAAAGGGCCTGGTCGTTCAAGCCGACGACAAGCCCAACCGCCGTTTTTGGCTTAAATACTTCTTCATCAGGACGGAGCACCTGGTGTCGAATCCCGAGGGTTTCCCGGAAAAATGGAATTCCGAACGTGAGTGTTTCTGTTTGTAAACCTTAGTGGTGCTTGCGCTTTTGTCTGTAGGGCCATTGTGGCCTTTGCTTTCCTTTTTTCTTCTTCCCTTTTTTTTTTTTGCAGCGAGGGCCTCTCCTCCCCAACTTGTCGATGACATAAAACTGTGGGTAGGAAGAATAATACCCTATGCGGAGGAATGCCGCACCTGGGCTGCCTTTCTTCGACAGTACGGCCCATCAGGTAAAAATTCTTGGCTATGGTTTGGGGATTCCTTACGTAGTCGTTTTTTGACTCGTTCGTTTTTGGCAGGTCGGGGCGTCTCTAAGAAGCGGGCAAAGAGAGTCGTCGCTTTACCTGAGGCGGGAACCGATTCGGAAGGCGGGTTCATACCCTGCGGTTTGCCCAGTGATGACGCCACAGAGGTTCCTCATCCGCTGCTTATGGCAACGTCAGAGAGGGCAGCGCCTCCTTTGATGCCGTCTCCCCGAGTTGTGGAGGGGTCTTCCAATAGCGAGGAAGCGCCGGAAAGAAAGAGGCGTCGGTTGATAACCGGCAAGGGGGTAGCTACGGTAGATGAGGGGGCGAGTGAGGCTCGTCGGGAGTCACGGCCTGTTCTCATGGCGCATGCCATCCGTACTGGGAGGCTGGTTCCCCATGGTAGGGCCGTTCCCGATGCTAGGCCGGCACGCATTCTAGAAGTTGGCTCGCCAGGCGCCGTTGGAGAGGTAGGTGATGGTGCTGCANTGGGGACCTCGAGAACGAGTCGCAGTCCCGAGCCCGAGGCGTTAGCGGTGCCGTCAGTGTAAAGAGTCCACAGGTCGGCGTCAGAGAGGGCAGGGCGCGCCTCGAATTTCGCTTCTGGTAAGATCTCTGCGCTGAAGTCGGCTACGAAGTCGGCAAGTACTTGCGACTTGATGGCGCTCCTTGGGTGATACGAGATATCGTGCTCACTGAGCTCTATGGCCCATCGGGCGAGTCTGCCTGATAACTCAGGTTTATGTAGGATACTTCTCAAGGGAAAGGTCGTCACGACCTTTAGTGGGGTGGCATTGGAAGTAGGGTCGGAGCTTTCGTGAAGCTACGACCAATGCCAAAGCTTAATTTTTCAAGGTGTGGATACCGTGTTTCGGCGTCCACGTAGGGTTTTGCTAATATAGTAAATAGGAGATTGTGTACCTTTCGTTTTCGCGGACTAGGACGCGCTGACGGACAACCTCGGACGACGGCCAGATACACCAGCAGTGGTTTTGCCTGGGGTCAGCTTTTGGCTAGCAGTGTACGGTGGAAGATTTAGCGTACGGCCTTTAATTTTCTTCAGAGCTTCGATGATTCTTTCGTTCCATTGCAAACCCATTGTCTTTTCTTAGCACACTAAAAAACTTGTGGCATCTGTCCGAGACGCGTGAGATGAACCTAACAAAGCGGCTATTCGCCCGGTCAGTTTTTGCACCTGCTTTTTGCTGTTTAGTATCTCTGGTATTGCGTCTATCACTTTGATTTGATCTGGACTTGACTTCGATACCTCGTTGTGATACGAAGGAACCCTAAGAATTTTCCAGATGCCACGCCGAAGCGCTGCATTTCTCGGGTTCAGTTTCATCCCGTATTTTCTCAATATTCGAAGGCTTCTTTCAGTATGGTCAGTGGGTCCTCTTTTTTTGTGACTTTTACCAGCATGTCGTCGATATAGACCTCCATAGTCTTACCGAGTTGCTCTTTGAACATTTTGGTTACCAGCCTCTGGTATGTAGCCCCCGCATTTTTTGAGCCCGAAGGGTATTACTTGTTAACAGTAAGTCCCTTGGTGGTGATAAAGTTGTCTTCTCTTGGTCCTCTCGGCCATCATGATTTGATTGTAGCCGGAGTAGGCGTCTAGGAAACTCAGTAGTTCATTGCCCGCAGTGCGTCGATCAATTGGTCGATGTGGGGTAGTGGGAATGAACTTTCGGGGCATGCCTTGTTCAGATCGGTGAAATCTACGCACATTCTCCACTTCCCGTTCTTTCTTCTTTACCATGACTACTTGGCGCCCACTCGGGGTATTTTGATTCTCTGATGGAGCCACTTGCGCTAGTAGCTCATTCTACTTCTTTACCAAACCGCTTCGTTGATAGCAGCGTTGAATTTTTCTCCTCATCTGTCGTACGGGTGATGTAGGGATCGACATTCAGCTTGTGGGGTGGATGTCTCGCGGGATTTCCCGGCATATCTGAATGGGAAAAGGCGAACAAATCTGCATGGTTAGTTAAGAATTCACAATACTTACTTGGTTGCGAAGACCTTGCCCGAATAGGCTTTTCTTTGTAGGATCGACTTTGTCCAATTGGACTTGGGTCGAGGTCTTCGACGGGTTGCCTTACAGGCCTCCACGATGTCGGGGTCTTTGATCACGTCCGTTAATAGGGTGGACCTTAGTTCCCGACACGGCTAATTGCTATGCCCTCCGCGCTCGCCCCTTAGCTGTTGGTGGTGGCGCAGTCTTGGGCTATTCTGTAGCATTCTTGTGCGCTTGTGGCTCGCCTCGGAATGCTGAATATTCCTCATGGGGTAGGAAATTTATCACTTAGTAGTGGCTGAAGGGACCGCTCGCATGGCGTGTATCCATGGCGTCCTTATGATGACTTTTGTACGCGTTTCTTGGTTCATCACGTGGAAAGTTGTTTCCAGCGTGACTCCTCCTGCTAAGACGGGCAGTGCTATTTCTCCGGACGTCCGTTCTACTGCATTGTTAAAACCAGTTAGTGTTATACAGCGCGGTATTACCTTATCCTCGAGTCCCATTTGTATGAGGACCCTTGGGTGGATAATACAGGCGCCGCTTGCATCATCGATCATGACTCTTTTAACATCCGTATCAGCGATACGTAAAGTGATAACTAAAGCATCATAATGAGGAAAAGACAAACCGTCGGCATCGGACTTATCGAAGGTGATACTATCTTCGAAGTCCTCATACCGTTCGTGGGCGATGGTCCGCTTTAGCCTGTGTGTGGTGGCGAGTTTGACATGATTGATCGCTGCCTCGTCGCCGCCTCCGACGATCATGTTTATCGTGCGAGTTGGGGAAGGTGGCTTTGGCGGTCCGTGGGACTGTTCCCGTCCGCGTGCAAAGTTTATTTTTCCTTTGTCACTGAGTAGCTCCCTTAGGTATCCCTGGTTTAGCATCCTGACCACTTCTTGCCGTAGGCCGATGCAATCTTCGGTTTTGTGCCCTCGTTCCTGATGGAACTCACACAGGGCGTTTGATTTCCTTGTGGCAGGGTCTGATTTCATCTTTTGCGGCCAGTGCACCTTGGTGCCTAGCTTCTCCAGTGCGTACACTAACTCTGAAGGAGACACACAAAAGTTATGGGCCGTTAATAAAGGGGGCGTACCTCTTTCGTTTCGTAGTGGGGCGACGTGTCGCTGTAGTGCGTCTGTGTG